CCCAGTACTACCTGAATATAAACCATATGACTAAGAGCATCATACAGATAATCAAATAACCACTCAAATTTATAAGAGTTTCCTTCAATACAGCTTTTTGAGGAGGTAAAAGTAATTCTGAATATATTCCAAATATAGAATGTATATTCTGAATATAGTTGTTATTTTGAGAACTAGTCACTTAAAACATTTTTGAAGGAAAAAAACATAATTATAGAATTACAAAGTGGTTTGGCTTGGAAGAAACCATAGAGATCATCTAGTTATAACCCCCCTGCCCTGGGCAAGGACACCTTTCACTAGATCAGGTTGCTCAGGGCCTCATCCGACCTGACCATAAACACCACCAGGGTTGGGGCATCCACAATTTCTCTAGGCAACCTGTTCCAGTGCCTCACCACCCTCACAGTAAAGAATTTCTTCCTAACATCTAATCTAAATCTACCCTAAATATTAAAAGACTGAAAAATATAAAAGCTTTATTCTGTGGCACAGGAGAGAATAACACTTTAATTCCATCAACTCTAAAAAAAAAAGTAATCAGATTAAAAGTTCCAGTGTTAATGCAATCTAGGTTTTTCAGGCCCAGATTTCCGTTTGCAGGACAGATGCAGATAATTTTTTCACATTGCATATGTTTGACATAAATGTGTGAAAAAAATACAAATTTTTGAGAAGTATTCGATTTCCCATTGTTGTTGATACACAGCTTAGACTTACCAAACACGTAACATCAAACTGTTACAGAACAGAAATCTAGCCAAGGTACCCTTCATCTACTTTTACATGAAGAGTCAACTTTGTTAAAAACACAGTTTGAAACTGGATGCTCAGTGTGTGGTAAGAATCTGCAATTCTGAAATCTAAGCCACGGAGATGAGACAGTTCTTTCAACATCGCTGCGACTGAATACTTTTGCTTTTTGATATCAATATATTGGCCACTGTTTAATAGTGTCATGTACCAATTCAGAGATTCTTACTTGATTTTTTAAATATACAGTAATGCTGATTTTCTGGTTGGCCTCAGCATAAGCACCATATTACACAGTACTTATATAGAGGCAAAGAAACACAAGCAGTCTTTTGGGTTGTTTTTTTATTGTAAAATAAAAAATTTGGCCATCCAAATTCAAGTCAGTGACTTAAATATCTTATTGGTTAAAGGCAAAGCCCAGATTAGGGGAGAATAATAGAATAAATCCACAGAAGTCTTGTGAATCATCCACTCAGATCAAAAGGGTATAAGGAACGGTCAAATATTGTGGTAATTGTTCCCTGACACACAAGTTATTCAGCATGACTTGTGAGATGAGAGTGAGCTGCCATTAGTTAAGTATTGAGACCCACAAAATGCCAAAAGCTATTATTATTATTATAAAGATACAACTTTTAAAATAGAACATGAGGTTAACTATATATGCTGAAGATCAAAACCATGACACTACAAAATATACTTACAGCACCAAAACCATGAAGAGACTAAATATCAAGACCAGAACTATACAGGCTACCCATACAGTATCTACTTTCCAAAGTAAACATTAAAAAAAGGCATTTTCCTTTCTCCTTTTTTTTTTTTTTTTCTCCAGCAAGAAACCTAGATAATATTAAGATCGGCATCCAGTGACAACTCAAAAGTTTCAAGAAAGAAATTGTCATGCAAGTTCATTCAGAGTTGGTGAACAGATTTGTCTCACAGCTCTTAGTTCTTTCATAAAATAAAATATTTTCAGCAAGAAACAAAACTCTCAAAAAGAACAACAGCAAACCTTGTGTTTAATAAAAAAAAGACACAACTAAGTGTCATCAAACTATAAAATGAAAAAAAAAAAACTAAGGATATGGGAGTGGAGGGATGTTGTATCATACCTTAGTAGGAATCCGAAAGCTTTCAACAGGACTGAGGTCATTAACACTCTCCTGAGGACTTCTTAGACCCTTTAAGAGAATTTTCATAATCAGTTATGATTGATTACTTTACATATCTTGCAATCAAACTGCACAAGTCTTACCTGATGTTGAACAGATACCTGTAGGTCCTTTGACAAATACTCTGACGTGGCTGGAAGGCTAAGACCTCATTCTAGAAACATTTAAGCAAGACCATTGGTCTATAAATTATGCTCCTCAAACATCTAAGCATTTCCAACTTTATGCTGCACTATGCACCTTTTCAGTGCAGTTTACTAACGTTCTCTTCATAAAGTTCACTTACATCCTCCTCTCAACTTCCAGACATTACTTTAAATTTTAAAATGAATGTGTGTCCAAAAACCCTAAGTACTCCTGCAGTTGATGCCAACAGTTTTTTTGCAAGCCCCTTTCGGGCTCTAGGTATCTATATTTCTTTGAAACAAAAGGACCTCTGCAAAACTACTATGTGAGTTTACAATGAGAAAAGTTTTGTATTTGTCCTTTGAAAAGGACAATGCTAAAGTGTTGTACATCACTTCTGTCGTAACTACTATATTTTACAATTGCTTCATCTTCACAGAATGCAAACCCTCTTCATTTTAGTGTTGATTCTCAGATTTCATTGTGCATCATTTCAAAACATCCTCCCTTTCCAGTAACCACCATCAAAGATGACTCACCTCTGTGCATCGGAAATTCAAGGTAAGGAATAAACAAAGCAACTGCTGCAGCTTCTTGTACTTCACACAAAATCCTTCACATATCCTCTCAAAAATCAGCAGTACTAGCAGCTTCTCTCCAGAAGCAATCAAAAGTTTCACTTATCAAATGCTAAATGGAACTTTATCCTTCCCAAGGACTGAAAATTGTTCAAGCCGTATTATTTTCAGACCACATCTCCACACTGGGCAGACTTCCCACTATTTTTCTTAGTCAAGCTGTAAACTCATCAAGTACCCCTATACTGAAGGTAAACAGAAGATTATTTTGCAAATTCCACTTCTGTGCCAGTATTCATTTTTAAGCCCTGCCTCCTGCATAAGCATCATGACTCTGAGGACATAGTTTAAAAAAGAAAAGTTTCTGACTTTCTCATCATTTTCTGTAACTATCTAGAATATTTGATGTGGTAGGTGACACAAGTGATTATTTAAGTTCTCCAATCTAGACACATGGACAAACAGGCTTCATTTCAGATGTATCTCATATACATGAATTATCAAATGTTCTGCTGATACACTTCTTTAAAAAGACTCTCAACCTTAGAAATACTGGTCCAAACGTAGGCTTAGATCTACATAATCCTAAAGACCACTGGTACAACTGGTACACAGCAGTGCGGTGACAGACACACACCGAGTGCTCTGGCACACATTCAATATGTGCCCACCCAAATACGTCCCCGGCATCTCCACAGCCTCGTCTACCTTCGGACCGAAAGCGTTTGCTGTCAGACAAAGCCACGCTACCGAAACACAGCCCAGCGCTACAAAATTACATGTCAAAAAGGGAACATGACACAGGCCGGCCCTGTCATCTCCAACAGCGATTAGTCTGGTGTGACACAGCTACGCGCTGGCACCTGCGCACGCTTCCATTTCTCGGTGTAAAGAGAAAAACAAGGTGGATGCCTGTGCCCCGAGAGAGACCTCACACGCCCCGAGCCCTCCCTCCCCGGGCAGCCGGGCAGAGGGCGATGCCCGCGCCTCGCTGGCCCTCCAGAGGGCCCGGGCACGGCGGCCCTAGGAGAGCCCCGGACCCCCGCGGAGAAACCCCCCTCAGAAGAACCGCTCACCTGGCGGGTCATCAGCGACTTGATCTTCTGCATGATGGCCCCGCCGCCCCCCCCGACAGCGCTCAGCGGCCCCGCGCGGCGCCGGGGCACGGCGCAGCCATGTTGGGCGCCACCTGACCGCGCCCGCCCGCGGCTCCCTGGGACCGGTAGTTCTGCGGCGGCGGCGCCCGACTACAACCCCCGGCAGCGCGGCCGCGAGGGCGGGAGGGCTCCGGGAAGGGCTCGGGCGTGGGCGGACTCTTCCGTCGCGGATCGGCTGCTGGGCGTCGGCATCCCTGGGCTGGCTCCTGCCGGCGGGGCGCGGGGGTGGCTGGGGTTTGGGGTGTGCTGATGGGGTGTTTGGACCAGGAGGTTCGCTTGTGTAGCCTTTGAAAGCAGTTACTTGAGAAGACAAAACGAGGCTTTGTCTGTGGAGAGAAACTAGAAAGCACACGTAGACAATGAGCATTTCCCGGTTGCCGCGGGTTATTTCGAGTTATGCACAAGTGCGTCTGGCCTGGTCACGGGTGATGGGGTTTTGCGTCGCCAAAACAGACTTATATCTCTGGTTGTATAGATATCAGCTACAAGCAAGCAAACAAACAAACAAAAAGCAGATAGCTTCTTAAATCTACTTCATATCAATGCAAGAAAAGGAAAAATTTATCTGACAACCTTTGCTTAACATCCGACAGTAAAACTACCAACACATTCCCTATAGCATAGTAGTACCTCCAGAAAAGGTGGTCTTTCCTTCTGGAGTTTATAGAGTGTGCACCTAAGTCAGCCCAGCACGTGTTTCCCGATCCTGTTGTTAGTTATCTCCCATCTGACCAGTGTGTTTTTGCAGGGTAGGTCAGGTAAGAGCAGGCGTCTGAAACAACATAGTGTCAAAAGGAGGGTCAGGACCGATGGTCCCCTCACTGCTTTCTTTAGCAGGAATTCATTACTTCTGGCTACCATTAGGCATATCATGTGTAATTGTTTCTGTGGAAACCTCTAACAAGTTTAGCTCATAACGAAGTTAACTTCTTAGTAATAAAATAACTAAAATTTGCAGAAACACAAGTGTTCAAAATGCTAGTACAGCAAATAATGTTGCTTTCATGTAGTTGCTTTTATTCAAAAGAGGGAGGTTTGATTTTCGTAAAGTCTAAATGCCATTTAACGACTAGCGCAAGTTAGAATTCTATAGAAAAAATAACGTGCATTTTTAGCATGCACTACATTTGTGTGTTATTCAGTGTAAAACTTGCAGCATATTAGTGACATCAAGAATTATTCAAATGCTGGAAATGAGGGGACACACTTGAAAAACATAACTGCTACTCTGTTTGTTTTTTTTTTTAATGTCTTTGCCCATATCAGGTGTTTAAAGCACCAACACAGGCTGTGTGCCAATGTGAAAGCTCCCATTTCAGTTAGAAATTAGTTGGAACCTGTGATATTTTAATATATGTTGAAATAGTAGATAGTAATTTCTAACTCGGGTTTTATAAAAGGTTGTGATTTGATATATCTAGCCTACAGTTAAGTGGATTAAGCAGGTTATAAACAACAACATTCAGAAGGGGCAGGACAATGGACCCAGGAAACCGTTGGGAATATGTGAAATACCCTGTTCATCTCCTGGCTAATGTCAGATGGTGATATTATTTCTGCTGGGACCGCTGTATTTCTGTTTTTGTTTGCCTGACATTACCCTTATATGTCTTCCATTAGACCTGGAAGGATCTGGGTGTTTTCGCCTCCCTTTAACTACGGTAAAAATTGAATGTTTGGCCCTTCTGCTGAGGGCTTAGAACCTTGCTGTACCCCTGCTCCTAGCACACGATGAGGGGAGGCATTTCCTTGCTACCAGTCCCTCATGCACAAAGCAGGATACAGTCTAGCCTAATATTTGTTAATCCATAATAGCCAGCCTAAGTGCTGTATAGTGAAAAATATAATGTGTTTTTGTATGGATAAACCATCTCTGTTGCTGCAAATATTTGCTGTTGCAAACTGTTACTGCACAAGTGTGGGAGGGTTTGCCTGATTTGCTGCTGATTTGTATGGTGAGTGACAGCTTTGGACAAAATCCAAATCCTACATTAATATTAATTTATTGATGTAAATTAATGCAGAACAAACAATAATCAGCAGCTAGCTCAACAACTGTAGTAAGCTGTCCACTCTAGCCATAGGATTCTTATTTTGAAGATACCTGATAGACATTTGACATCATGTGTTGTTTAGAGAAAGGGAGTAAACTCTTTGCTGAGTTATGCTTATGTTAAGGAAAAAAAGTACGGAAAATTTATGGACTTGAAAAGTGCTAGGAAAAAAATTAAGTGAGGCTCTTTAATAGCTGTTTAATGTTTTTTGTAACAGAAGAGGAGAGGCTGTCATTGGCAAAGATCTGAAAAAAATATTCTGAGTACTAATTCTAGTTTGAAATAAGCAGAAGCATGTAGCATCAGGGTATTTTTTATGGAACTATAACTAAGGGAAGTTAATAACTATATAACCTGTACACTTGGTGCGTTTACTTACTTCTATTAATTAAATGTACTTTGTATTGTGTGCCCCATTTATTACATTCTGTGTCATATTTGCTGTGGCTGCCGGGGAAGGCAATGAAGATGGGTGCTCATCTAACAGGTGCTCCACTTCCTTTGTTCTTTGTATACACATATTCAAATCACACAAGGCAGGGGACAGGATAGGGCCTGTTAACTCATTGCTGATTTCCCTAGCAAATAAACCAGCTGCAGGTCCAAGCCCTGGCTTAGTGCTGAGGAGAAGGTGGCATTTGTGTGGGACAGGATGCTTTCATGGAGCCCCCTAGCCAACTTCTTTTGGGACTTAGAGTGCAGAATATATTTTCTACTTGTAGGTAAGATACAGTATAAATTATATTTGATTATCCTTGTGGAAATGGAAATTGATTTTATAAGATTTATCTTTATAAATTTAAAGATATTCCTGTTGTGTTCTCAGATGTTTTGTTTCAGGAAAGTAGCCTAAAAGCTTTTAATCATTTAAATCAGATACTGGCACCCTGTTTTATGAGTGGAGCTCAAGTTTTAGCACCTGACAAAAATGAGTGCTATACATAATCTATATGTAAAATGTGGGCATTGATTAAATATATATAGTCACATTTATTGAGTACTATATACATTGTGCATTCTTTTTAAAAAGTAAGGCTGGAGAGGTTCTAAACCAAAGTTTATACAGAAGCTGTTACATACCGCTTTAAAAATTTGTTGAGACAGTGCTGATACATTATTTTTCATTTCATTATGATTAATTTATATGTAATACTTAAATGTACTTAAAACACAATTAAGCTTTTAGTCAAATGAAGAATGTCTCCCCAGTAATAGTGCATTTGTTTGGTATCTGGCTGCAGTTTTCATTTGTTATCCATGCAGTGGATAAAAAGCAGATGTTCTATGCACTTTGACAGGAATATCCTGTCAAATGTTAGAGAAACTTATTTCTACAAACTACTGTAATTAACTTTTTCTATATTTAATTGGGTTTGTAAATGTCAACAGAGGAAATATATACTATTACAAGTGTAGTGCATTCTCTAATCTTTCATCTATAAGAAGAATTTTTCTCTTATCTTCTTTGTGAACCTTATATAAAGTCATCTAGTTTCCTTGAGTTTGAGCTAAATACTTTTTCAAGAGTTTTTGCTTCATAACAATTGCAGATTTATATGAAGATTATTCAATCTCTTCTTTAAAAATGAAAAATCCTTGGTTGACAAAAAACACAGCGAATGTATGTTTTCTTTACATTACAACTTTATTGGACATTTTTCATTAAAACCCTACTGGAGATATTGTCATGCAAACAGAGTACTTTAGAGTACATTTGTTCACCAGGAAGTCTCGTCTTATACCCTTACTCAGATATATATATTTTCTAGTAAGGGAAATGTGCTGCTCATACTTAATATCATGACAAGAACCAAGTGCATTGGAGACATGATGCAAAGCCCACTGAAGACATTGACCTCAGAAGCTAAAATTAAGTCCAGTAACAAAGCGCAGTAGAACTTTTTCTTGGGCAAAAATCCCAACCCAGGGAACAGTATGCCCGAGTTTTTCCTGATATAAATGGAGATACAGAAATCTCAGCTTCCCTGGTCCATTATATCTGGGACTTTTTTTCATAAATGAACATACTTGCAAAAAGTGAAAAAAAAATGCAAAAACTATTATCACTGATCTAGTGACATTTTGCACTGAGTTCAGGGAGTTTGGAGAGCTGAAGAGCTAAATGAACACTGGTGAAAAGCAGTTGAGAGTCTAAACTCACTTTGACAAGGAGATGTGCATGTTAAATTCAGACAATGTTAAAACCTCACTAGGCAGGTTTCAGTTTATGCCATAAACTCGAAAGTTATGTCATAGTTTTTTATTTAAACTAAAACTGCAGCCCTTGTTTTATGTCAACAATTCTGTTGTGCTTGCTAATACTGGTGATAGCAAAGTGAGATGGAAGCAAAGCACAGATCACTGAGCTCCAAGTGGAGGTCATTTTGGTACAGCCCTTATGGTCATTAAACAAAAACTAGTTTCTGAAATTACATTGTCTTGGAAAAATATATCATATTTGGAAGGCTGTAGGGATAGGAATAATTATATGGAATTTGTGCCTGATGAATATGAATTTAGTTTGGCACATCGGCTTGATTTTGCTATTAGCATTAATTCAAAGATTAGTCAAAACGGTCTTCAGTTTAGATTTAAAATCAAGACTAGTCTAATACAAGAGAATCATAGAACCGTTTAGGTTGGAAAAGACCCTTAAGATCATCTAACTCTGCCAATTTCACCATTAAACCATGTATCTGATCAAAACGTCTACGTGTCTTCTAAGTACCCCCAAGGATAGTGGTGAGTCCACCTCTTCCCCGGGCAGCCCATTCCAATGCCTGAAAACACTTTTGGTGAAGAAGATAACCCTTTCAATAAAGAATATTCCAGACTGCAGAAGATACGGTCTCTGCAAAAACCAGAATTCTTCCATCAGTGCTCCTGTAAAACCCTTGCCTTTGACAGAGCACCATTTTCTAATAACTTGCCCCAGCCTGCCTTGTCCCTTGCCCTGCCAGCCGTGGAGAAGTTCCTGTGTGCTGGTGGTAGTCCACAAAATCATCGGAGCAGAGCCAGATTGAGCAACAAGCCACTCCTGAAGGGACACCAGGGGAAAAATGGAGTTTTCGCCCTCACCACCAATGGTCTTGGCTAAAAGAATTTCCTTAACTGCACATCAGAATGTCTTTCCAAGCTGTTACACGGAACCAATTTTCCCTGTGAATCAAGTGGAGCGATGTTAATTTGCAGTTTCTATTCCCGCAGTTTTTAACTGCAGAGAAAGTAAGCTTTCCAGCCAAAATTCTCTTCTTCTTGCTCTAGTATGGTGTTACCTTTCATACTGGTGGTCCCACTTACCCTGCTACTTGCAAGACCTTTTGGGGTTTTGCTAATTTTCTGCACAAACAGATCTGTGAGAAATATTATTTGTTTTACATATTTTATGATTACATTGCAGCTGTTACTGGCTTCTTATCCAACAGCACAATCGCTTATTGATAGCTAAATAAACCCAGAAATTGAGCAGCATCATGTGTAAAGAATGAGGAAGGATATGGACAGATCTTTTAATTGGTCATTTACAGATCTCCCAGCTCTCTGTTTGAGAGATGTTTTTTACTTCATTCCAGTTGATATAAAAATTGAAATGTATTTGATATGTTATATAAAATAGATCTCCAACATTACAGATTTTCTGAAGGATTCTACTGAGAAGTTACTCTCTTTTTCTGTTTTTTTCAACTGGAGAACAGCAATTTAAATCTGGTTTGTGCAGTAGGGTTGTCAGGGAATTAACCTCTGAGAAATGTTACACACATATTTTTTAGCAGTCTTTAATAGCACAGTCACATATTTTTCACATGTAGCTCCCTCTGTCCTCCCCCTACTACACACCACTTTCCAGGTAGAAATGTACTCTGTGTGCTTCAGGTGGGGATTTACTTTTTGGTTACAGGTATTTGTCAAGAATCACAGAATCCCAGGTTGGAAGGGACCTCAAGGATCATCTGGTCCAAAGAAAGATGATCAGTAGCAGAAAGAGAATAGATGGTGCATGGTGAAAGCATTGCATGTTGTCCTGGGTAGTGCATTCTCAGTCTCCAGTGTGCTCTTATGCAGTGTCCGATTACTTAAATCCCCTTTTTTACACGTCCTTACTTATGAGAGGTTGCCTTTTTTTTCCTAGGGTTATGTCTTAGCACTTGCAGTGTGCTTTTCACCGTTACTGAGCACTCAAAGCTGAGCGATTAAACCTGGAGTCAATAGGAATTGCATCTTGAACATACTAAAATATGTTTATATGTATTTTGGGAAATCCAGTCCTTAATGTTTCAAAATGATCATCCAAAATAAGTGGGTATTTTTGCTGTTAATTTTCTCTGGGCTTAAATTCTTCACCTATAAAATCTTATCAGTTATAATGGTGTTGTGAAATCAGTTCATTAATGTCTATGCCTTACATCATTGCTGTTCTTTTGAGTTCTGTGGAAAAGTTCATGTGAAAATCAATCACTCAGTCCAGAGACTAAACCTTTAATAATGTTCTCTAAATATGTCTCAGGCTGGCACAGTGAAAAATGATTAAAAAAAACATACATGGGAAAGACAATGATTAACCAAGGAGTGGCCTTTTTGCACCATAACAGAGACAGAATTCTTAGAGAACAGAATTAATCATGTAGCTGAAAAATGTGCCTTTGTGGATATCAACATCAATTCTGCTAATTTCCTAAGATCGGAATACTTGGCTTTTGCAGGCTTAGTAATGTTTCGTGAGTTTAGTCTTGCAGATACTGAGCTGTCATCAATAATAACTATATATAATTATATCAAACATTCATGGAAGTTCTGCTTGTCACATTTTCAGTCAGTTTCTCAATATAGCTGGCAAAGCAACTAAGAAGTTGCTCTGTAGCTGAACCAACCTAGAAAAAATTCCTAAAAATTGAGTGTGCAATCCAAGATTATTAGAGAGTGTGAGACCTAGGAATTTGAAATATTTTAAAGGGAAAATATTTTATACATTAATATAAATGTACATTTTCTCATTTTTCTCAAACTTTCAACAGTAAAAGTTCCTTCCTTTGGTTTTCTTTATATTTTGAAGCTGCAGCTAGACCCAACTTCACCAAGGTCAATGAGCGTTTGCCTCTTTCTTATTTGATATCTGAGTTTTAACCATACAAAAAAGTGTAAGTTTTAACATTGAGAGTTTTTTCATGATGAGAATTTCTCATTCAAGTTTTCTAGGTTTTCCAGTTGTGGTTTGAGTTTGTTTATTTGTTTGTTCTTTCATTTTTATGCAGGTATTTGTTCTGCCTTAAAGTTGACAGTACCATCTCATACCATCCACGGTATTGAGGGACAACCACTTCATCTTACTGTTGACTACAATTTCAATGCTACAGCTTCTGAAATCCAGATAATTTGGCTTTTTGAGAGGCCTCAAAGTAATCCAAAATACTTGCTTGGCTCTGTAAATCAAACAGTAGTTCCAGACTTGGAATACCAGCACAAGTTTACCCTTGTACCACCAAATGCATCTTTGATGATCAATCCATTGCATATCAGCGATGAGGGCAATTATATTGTAAAAGTCAATGTCCGTGGAAATGGGACAATAGCTGCAAGTCAAAAGATTCAAGTAGCTGTTGATGGTAAGTTAGTAAGAGATGGTATCTTCATTTTGAAAATAGAATTGCAAAAGTTTTGAAGTATTGGTTCTTAGTATCCAGTTACAATAGTGTATCGTTTAATGCAACCATACATTAATAAATTCTAACAAGTTATGTTGTTTTGTACTGCTACTGGAGGGAATGATAAAATATGTTATCTTTAAACAAAATTAATATATTGACTGATGTTTCTGTATCATAAGTAAAAAACTGAAGAGGTAGAATTATCTAAGAGAATGACAAGAGGCTACTGTAATTTATGGATTACACAGAGACAGCCCTGTAACTGTTGGGCTTGGAAGAATGAGATGAATGACATCTTGAGGTGACAGAGTTGTAGCTGCCATTTAACTGACAAACCCATCCCAATTTGCAGCCATCCTCATGACTGGATCACCCAGTGGTGCCCAGTATGGGCAAAGCTGTGGGCAGTCATACTGAGAAGTCATACATCATGGGCAGTGTCATGCTTTGTGCTCTTTTCATTTCGATGGCCTCAGTGATTTGTATGTGAGGCAAGAGCTGGAGGCTGTGGTATACCTCACTGCAGCCTTTATCTTATTACCAGTAATCTAAACAGTCTGGTTTTATTCAAGTACTGTAACAATTCTTGCAGTCACCAGCTGAGAGTATGGCTTTCTTTTTTAACCTTTAACCACATTTAATAGATAAAATTTGAAGTAGGAGTAATTTCCAGTGAGAATGATGACTGCTATTTGAATCATCTTGACAATGAAGACTGTGATATAGTGGCTTGTCACTTTAACAACTCCTATCTCTTTATTTTACAGTTCCAGTCACAAAGCCAACTGTACATACTGAACCATCTTCAGGAGTAGTGGAATATGTAGGAAATATTACCCTAAAATGTATTCTGGGTAAAGGTACAAGGGTAACTTACCAGTGGATGAAAAATGGGAAGCGTCTCCATGCTGGCCCTAATTATACCTTTTCATCAAACAATGCTACACTTCTAATTGTTCCTGTCGTAAAAGAAGACATTGGGAATTACAGCTGTCTAGTATCTAACCCTGTCAGTGCAATGGAAAGTGAGATAATTGCACCAACCATATATTGTGAGTATATGAAATATTCATTACTACCTTAGTATGAACGATCTGGCTGGAAAGAGTGCCTCTAACTATGGAAACAGGCAGAAAACAGTTGAGTCAACATTATATGTGAGTTTGCATTCCAAATGAGCTTGTTTGTAATAGCTCTAACTTACGACAGGATAATCAAGTTACTCAGTGTTATGTGGTTGTGAAGATCAGTCTCAACTGCAGAATTCAAATAAGAATTCCATAGACATCTTGAGATCTGGAGGTGATGGGACTTAAAGGAAAAAAAATAATCAGATGGTTACACATGTAAATATTGTTAAAAATGGAGGTGCCAAACAGTGTCAAAAAGCTAAGCACAGAAAGTACCGGGCTGAAGGACTGGTGTTAGTGGGTTTCTTCAAGATCATTTGAAGTCCAGTCCTGTTTAATACTTCCAGTAATGGCACCAGCATAAAGATTGGGAATATCTCAATGAAGTTAATCTGTGACATTAAATAGGAGGACTGAATAACTAAAACATAGTAGTATAACTGGTATGAAATTTGCTGGTAAAAAAATAAATGGGCATGGCCTTTTAGGGAATAAAAAACATGAACTTCTGCTGGTGAGATTGAGATCTATTGGGAAATAATCAAGACAGTGAGCCTGGATGATTGAGCTATCACAAGATTTTTGTGAACTAGCAGTGTGATTCATGCATGAGAAAGACATATGTAATACTAGGGTGATGGGCAAAGGATTTCCAACAAGGAAACAATAGAATACTGATGGCACATAGAAAGTCAGACCCCACGTAGAATGCTGTGTGCAGTCTCTGCAGCTCCTAGAGCACTGATCTCAAACTGGAAAGAAACAGAAAATAAAGAAATGGGGAAGAGATCCAGAGAACTCAGTCAGGCTTAGCAAAACTAGAGCTGAACAGAGTGTTTGCTTTCCACATCAAACGGGAAACAGGAGGGAGAAAGAAGAGTTGCATAAAGACCAGTGTTGCCAGAAGAATAAACCATAAGGTAGCCATATATTTTGACTGGAAATGGAGGCACCTGAGAAACTAACTGTGAACACAGATTGAGTTCATGAATTAATTTAATTTACTTTATACTACAAATTCAACAATTTGTAGTATAAGTCTTAGAATGGGCAATCATTTTTCCCAGTGCCTCCAAGATTTGCAAGTAGCACATGCTACACGTGACCTCTACTCATGTCCTCAGGGCCTGAACTGTCATTCTCAGTGGAGAGCTGAAATCACACAGGTCAGGACCTACTTTGCCACCAATCCTGTTCAGATATAACCAGTTTAACAAATGGCAGAGTGGATGGCACAGTGCAAGGTCTGGAACAGGATTCCTGTCCAGCCAAGTGTTAGTGGCTCACTCTTGCTTTTACCAAACTCTGTCATCCGGCAACTGGTAGACAGTATATGCCCTAGACTTGTTATGATTGCACTACCAACAAATTCAGAACCTACACCTCTTACTGTCATATTTTCCTTCTCCTCCTTTCATCTCTTTCATTCTTCTACTTATTTCTTTTTAATTATAACTTGGAAGAATTAGATAAGGGCGTGACTTGCACCTAAAGCGTGCGTCCAGGATCTCTGCACTGCACCAAGAGTACAGAAAAAGATTGCCTAAATTAGCAAAGATTAACAAGGACATTGTTAGATATGAGCTGAGCACTAATGCAGACCTTATAAAACTGACAGCAATGCAGACATGAAGATGAAGAAGCTGCTGCAAAGAGTCCTAAACAGGGCAGATGTGAATTGAGCTTCTGTCTCATTAGACAGAGGAATCATGCTAAAACACTCTACAAGGAAATAGCTCCAGCACCGATGGGAGTTTTAATTTATCATAACCGTAATTTAAAAAAACCCCAACATTTCTTCCTCAAGGTAGCACATTTTTAAATGCCTGCTTTTGTACAGTCAGAATCTCAGCTCACTTAAGTGTTTAAAGTGCTAAGTGTGAGAGATGAAGGTTTATGAATGCAGGGCCTCTATTGCTTTTTTCATTTTAATGAGCTGTGAATGGGCCTTA